GGCAGAGACTTAACATTCAAGTCACAGTTCACCACCAGGACGAGAAAACATTTAAGCTCAGACAAAATATTCTAACCTCAACATCCACTTACTGGCTTTTTCTGGGGCATTCAACCACATCTCACAAGACTAAACTTCAGCTCTCAACATTTGAGCTATGTCATTATATTACTTTAAACTAGTGTCCGATCAATACTGGACTTTTGAGGCCAGAGCCAATATTGATTTTTGTCTGCCAATATTTGTTTTTTAATGTAAATGCATAACATAAACAAACAGTCTTGAAAGGGATCACAAATAGCATCCTGGTGACACAAACATATATCCTTGTCATTTATCTCCTGACACCATATATCTCTAATAAGCTAATATCAGTAATATTGTCTCTACCTGGTTCAACTTCTACTAAACAAAACCCCAACTATACTGTATCTGGTCTTACTGCATATCACAATATGTATCGCCCAGCTTCTAATCTACTAAACTCAGTAATGTAAAGAAACTCCTGCTCAGTGTTCTTGTGATACACACAGATAAGTAATTCCAGTCCATCCTCTCATTTATTGGCTGTATTTGTACACACCCATGAATAAAGAGAGCTGGATGTGTCACCTTATTTATCCAGCCTGTTCACCACTTATGTCGTCATTTACCCTGCAATGTGTGACAGCACCTGCCAGTCGAGCAGAAAACTATGTACATTTGTCTGAACACGCCGAGCTCAGATGTTATGCGTTTGCCTCCAAGCTACAGCTATCTGATCAGTCTATCAGTTTGTAAATAAAAAATTAAAAAAAAGAGACCGAACTTACTCATCTGAGAGCTGCACAGTGTTTATCTTGGTTCAGATGGAAGTAAACTTTTTCAGATATGGACTGAAATGTGTCCAAAAACAAAAATGAAAGTATCAGAAGTTGGCACTGAATGCTTTGTCAGATTGCTGGTTTAGTTTATTCTTTGACCAAATTAGCTAATTAGTTTTCTTAGAAGGTATTTATTTGGGTTTTTGTACAGCTGCTAGTTTCGACCATATTAAATTAGTAATGAAATCACAGCTTAGTACAAGATTTAACACAATTTCATGCCAATTTGAATAAAGGATTAGACCAGTATCACAACTGGAAAAGAAGACTACAGCACAGGTTTGGTCATCAGATGAACATCACATCAAGAAACAACTGCAGACTTGTCCAGGACATGCAGACGCACTACATATGAAACATTTTTTACACATATACTCAACAACTGTCCATAACTGCTACTCTTGATGATTAACTGGGGACACAAATGAATGATTGTGATGTTTGGCGTCGAGATTTGTAAACAAGCCTGTGTAACTCAGGAGGTTTTGCTGAAGTGTTGGCAGAAATGTTTTCTGTCCTTCCCATATAAACCCATAATCCCAGACCACCACTCTGCAGGAGTACACCTCCAACTTCCATGATACTTTTGGTGTTTCTGCGGCTCAGTGACAGCCGGCCTGTGGGAACCTACTGCAGATCAAACAGAAAGGATTTTAACAAGACTGACTGAACCATGAAAAGAACCTGCTGCTTGAGTCGTACAAGGAGAGTAAACACACACACACACACACACACACACACACACCCTTAGGCCGGAGGCAGTCATCTGTTCTGTTGTTAAACTGTAAATATAGGATTCGGATCAATGACAAATGTAGTTTCTATGATGCAACATGTGTCTGCTTATCACTTGACTGATTATATAAAGTTATTTTAAATCAAAATGCTTTTTAATCTTAGCACACAGGAAAATGTACAGCTTCCACTTTCATGTAAGGAACCACAACAGCAAACTATATATTTTCAACAGTGTAGAATATCAAATGAATGAAACTGTTTGGCACCCGACTGTGTTGAGAAAATGCACCATTTAAAAAAAACTAAGTTTGGTAATATTCTATATTATTAAAATGGCCTATATAAATCTACTAACATATAGAGCTGAAACGATTAGCCAATTCATTGATTAGTCAGTCAGCAGAAAATCATCACTTTCTGGCAAATGCTACAGCTTCCTGCTTCTAAAATGAGAAGTCGAAGTCGTTTCTTAGTCTTTTGATATTAAACAAACTCTTCTTTTGGTCAGACAAAAATAGAGATTTCAGTATGTCTCCACAGAGCTCCACTGTTGTCCAAAAGAGATTAAAAACCCATCAGTGAGCCTCACTGCTGCACTGGGTGTTCCTTCATCATCATGAACACACTGTAGTTTATTCTAACTCCGTCCCACATACACCATCCTGCTGCCCCAAGTACTCACTAGAGTACTACATGTGGATTCATCCGCCGCTGAAAATAGTCCCCAGCAAATGCACTACATCTGCCTGTTTGAATAACATTTTATAAAAACTACAATGGAGCAGCTGTTTTAGGAAGCACTGAGTCTTTTAATGAAACTACTACTGCAATAAAGTAAGATTTGTCATGAATCAAGCGAACGTTGGCACTGAATGTTTGTGTTTATATTTTGTCTGATCAGATACCTTCTGATTCTTTTGGGTGTTCTGTCTTAATCCGACAGCAGAACAGAGAGTGACAGGAGACACGGGGTGAGAACAAGCTTAACGGAGCCATGGAGGTCATGTGACTGACCCCGGCGCGTTGTTTTCATGCAGAACAACAGTCAGATCTGCCGCAGTAAAGAGTCCCAGCAACCTGCTGACCCTCCACACGGCAGGAGGCCGACATTTGTCAAGAGCTGGTATTGTCTGGGTCTTTATTGACCGCCAGCGGTGCTCAGCTCTGCATTGTTTCTGCTGCTAAATGACATGTGTATTGGTATGCTTTTGTGTGTATGTGTGTGTAGGGTCCTATGATTTTTGCGATGAGGAAAACAGTTGCAGACTTTGATTACTTGGACCAAAAATGGATTAAGACCATAGAGATGAGCGCAGAGAACCACAACGAGCGAGAGACTTCGATTTAAGGCATTTTGTTTAAAAAACAAACAAGATTTTGCAACTGAACTGCTTTACAGGCTAGTTTACATTTCTCTATTTATCTATACTAATTCTTAATCTCCCCTCTGGGGATCAGTAAAGGCTTATCTTATCTGAAGGGCTTTGTATCTTTTGAAACGTTACCCGTGATACCTGAGTGCCTATAAATACACCAAAGCCATATATTTTGTTAAAATTTTTTACTTTCCTAAACTTATCTTTCTGCACAACCCCTTTTTCCTCTTAGGTTTAGACAGACAAGCAAACGGTTATCATTTCTGGCAACCATCTTTGTTAGCATCAAGAAATGGCGACACATATTTACAGGTCTACCAAAAGGAAGAAATTTTTGGATTAGGTCTGTAAAAGACTATACTCAGTCATTTGCTGCTGATACTAATCTTGAACTACAGGTTTCAGTGTTTACCATCATTTACCTTTAAAAGAAAATATATAGGGTAAGGGTTTTGTTTGGTTTATTTTCAATCAAACTTGTTCCTCAACACACAGTACACAATCAATTTTAGGGAGGTTGTTGGGCCCATGACAATTTATATACACCAATGTCAGAACAACCTGTTGTTGCTCATTAAAAAGTGTCCAGGTCAGTTCATTGTTTTCCAGGACATTCAGGGCAATATTTTTATCTTTTCCCCCCAGGATTTCCAGTCCTGGGCGGATGGGCACCATGTGCACATGGCAGATTTTTAGTTAAAAGTTTTACTTTTATTCATCTCTGAGGAAGACTGAGTGTAATCAAGAACGCTAAAATGTCAAATGTTATATAGTGTAAAAATAACTATTGTCACATAAAAGACAAACTGTGACTTCAAAACACCGCAACACAAACTGCTGCTGCTTATCCCAACCTCGTGATAATTACAAACACATTTTTATCAAACCAGAATTATGTGCCTGACTGTCACTTAATGGCTGATCTGTGTGTGTGTGTGTGTGTATAAATCTCGCCAGGTTGCCATACAGCAGCAAAGTGTTTTTTCTTGTCACATGTGCAGCTGCAGAGTGCAGAAATATGACAGTCAGTAAAAAAGGTAAACAAGGTAACAGCCTGCAGCACAAACCTAATTAACCTGGACCTCATTACATACAGTATACTTTAACTGTTGCCATAGAAGGCAATGCGCTAAGCTGATAAGCACCAAGTATATAAAACTGTGAACCAATTTTTGCACATTTTAGAACTATTGTACTTTAACAGTTCTTGTGCCTTGCACCGGCCCTAGTATTACAGATATCAAAGGACACTCAGCCCTAAATCTGACATAAAGGTAAGTAATCCACATGTACAACAAATCGTTAAAACCACCAAAATCCAAAACACAATCTGCTTTAAATTCAAATGGATTGAGACGTCCTTTTTAATACAGGGACTAACTAACACTGAACTGTGAAAGACTCAATAAAAACTTCTCAACTATGTGAAAATAGAAGTAATTTTAAAATTTAAAACTGCAAATATTTCCTCAAGTAACCACAGTACCAGTACCCCAGCTAAATCATTAAGGTTTTACCATAAATATGTCATATGGGTTGCATGATTATACTTTAATTAGTGCTTTCATTTCAGTCTACAATCATTTCACTGCTCAGTTACTGTATTTCTTCTCTATTCTACTTGTGTTAATTAATTTTATTCCATCTTAAGAGTTTATTGCGTTATTTATCTGTAATTGTTTGTCAGCCATTCTAATGCTTCTCTTTGCCCACGTAAAGCACTGAGCTGTTTGAAATGTGCTATATAAATATTAAAAAAAAAAAAAAAAAAACACACCATGTAAACTATAACTTTAAATGATTTAATGATAATCTGTGATTTGCTGGATCAAGTTGATGATTGATGGGGAGGTTTCAGCTGAGAAACAAATTTTAAAACCTTAATAATTTCCCTAAAAACTAATTAAACCCAACAACAAGCCGTTAAAGTGCTGAATTAGCCGTTATTTTCTGCTAAAAGCTAAAAGCTAACCGCTAACAGCGGACCGTTAGCTCCCCCCCCCTCTCCCTTTGGCGGTCTCACCTCTCATCCAGTCCACCACTTGTTGCGGGGTCCACTTACTCACAGCCTCCATTTCTCCAAAGGGTGTTAATTAATCTCTCGCTTGCTCCAAATGAACCGAAATTAAACCGTTAATCAGACATGATTTAGCTCATGTCGAGGCACCGGAGGAGGGTCCGTCACGGCACAGAGACAGACACGACACCAACGGTCCGCCGCTCGCTCGCTCACTGAGCTCGTGGAGAAAGTTTACAGGCATAACAAGAAACAACCAGCGCGTGGGGCGGGTGTCGGGTTACGAATGGCCTTAACCACGCCTCTTTCTCCCTTCTCCTCCAATCCCATTACAGTTTAATGATGCTGCCTTTAGGTGCTGTCGGAACAAAAAAACAAACAACAGACAATGTTTATTTAAAAGTCATGTGTTCTGTAGATTGCAATCAAATACAAATAGCGCAAGTGAATGAATATTTAATGTTAAAAGTATTAGATTATTTTGCATAGGCTTCATGAATGTATGGTTATATTTAAATGTCTAAGTATACACGGTGCAGGGTTTATGGATGGATGATACCTTAACTGTACTTTTGGGGGTTTAACCATGAGATTTTAACTTGTTGTTTAAGTGCTCTTATGTCATCTGTAATTGTTAAATTATAAGTGATTTGAATTCCACATTCATTCTTGTAAACATTTATAAAATTATTAAGAAAGAAACTCAGTAATATATAGGCAAACAATTCTTCTTAAACTAACAAATGATGATGTTCAACTTTTTTTTGTGTGTCATTTATTTCTTTTTACTGTACCAGAATAAGAGAAAAGATTTACGCAAAAACACCTTAAAAGTCAACTTTAAAACTTCACAATAGCGAATAACAGAAGAGTTCTTTAAACTTTGAGCTAAAATGCAAGTACAGAAATACAAAGGTTTGGTTTAAATTGGTATTGGTAAATAAATTGGTAAAACATTTGGTTTAAATCTTGAAAAGTGACAATGTCACAGGAAACAGACTATTTGGACTCCACCAGGGTGATTTTTTTTTTTTACATTCAAGCAAGTGAAATGTGAACAGTAGCATTGTTTACATTCATTTTGATGTGAGAATTAGCAGTTTTATTGGATATAAACAACCCAAATACAGAATGTTGGACTTTTGCATGACAGAGCAAATTAGCAACAAGCTAAATAACTAGGTAAATAATAACCCAGACTAAATAACAGATACCAAATTGATCAATAAGTAAACTCACAGCAAACTTAACTCAACAGCACAGAACTGAAATGTAGATGCAAAACTCAAATCTTAGAATCAAGAACACAGGGGGGATAAGGGAGACAAGATAACAGGACAACACAGACAACAGACTAGGATAACAGAACAAAAACAGATTAACACAGAACCAAACGGACAACAAAACGGCAGAGCTCACCATAAACACAGACTGGACACAGGACAACAGACAAGACAGAACCCCAAAACACAACAGACCAAAAATAACAGATAATCAACTGACCAAAACTCAGAGTGCTAAACTAAAACATGGCTGACAGGCAGAATGTAACACAAACCGATGTGTGGTGAGCGTTCATCCATCACCCAGGTGGGTGCTACACATTGATGGTGTTTGAGGTGAGTCCCCCCCACTTCACTGCGAAGCGCTTTGAGTTTCCATGATAAAGCGCTATATAAATGTAATGCATTCTTCTTATTATTATTATTTTAACACAGACTCTCCCTGCTGGCTATTTATCATGAGTTGAACTCATCCACCTTGATTAAATGTGTTCATTTGCATGCTGCATTTTGGTAACATAAAATGCATGCTAAGTTAGATGAATTGTTTATCCAGCCCATACTCCTCTCAACCTCTGTATGAAACAAAGCCTTAAAATGAGACGCTGCCATAATAAAAAAGCATTCCTTCAGCCTCTAATCAGATCTTTTATCTTCTGAGCTCCACAGCAGCACTGTCATGTGTGATTGGTGGTGGCTTGTTAAGCTTTTTTAGGGCGTGCACATGTTTCCCATGGGAAGAGGATGAGAACAAAGCTCTGAACTGTGCTGAGAAGAAGAACATCAGCTGGGAGTGAAAATGCTGGACAGAAGAGAAAACATATTACAGTATAAAGTTTGTCCTCAAAGTGGATTTATGTTACAGGGTCAGAAAAGTACAGTATGCAAAAACCAAGACCAAAAACATTCATTTAGTTTTCGTTTAACTTTTACCACCAAACTCTGAAGTAAAACAACAAAAAAGGAAAATTAATTACACTTTGGCTTTCAAAACCACAAATCCTTTGACATGTTCCACCACCATTACTTAGACTTTAAGTAATGTGCTTCTCAATTTCTTCATAGCTTGTGAAATCAAAACAATATTGAAATGACCCCGTAGTTCACAAAATAAATAAATAAATAAAAGTAAAATCTGGGATAAAAATGAACATAATGGTGCAGTAGCAATTAGCTTTTTCTGCTTTCCCAAATAATGCTTTGATTTGTCTTGTGACCCCTTGACACACTAATAAATACATACAATTCTTACAGGTGTTGCAATGTCAAATTGTGGCATTGTGCTTCCTTGTGTTCACATTAGACTCTCAAAAGCTGGATATGGTAAAAATCTAACAGCACTTGAATGCAGCATGTAGGAGCTGATGTGGGCGGGGCTTCTTGTTCCGCTTCTTCGGTTTAAAAAGAGTCCATTAAATCCTCTTTAAATCTATATTTTACTGGGAGATGGAGATAAACGGTGTGTAACAGTGGTCAAAAGAGAGAGGAAAGTAAGTTGCTAGTGAAAGTTTTGGTCTTTCAGTTTTAAAAACATCTGTCTGTCTCTAATCAATGAAGATGAAGTAAAGCAGCTGTGTAAATGGGCAGTAAAAATCAACAGCCAAAGACATTATACAAACCCTTAACATTTAATCAAAGTCTGGTATGTTTGAGCTTTCTTAATATCTTTCCACCAAATGACCAGAATCTGATGTGACGATAGTATCTCCAGGTTTTGTTCCCTGCTCTTGTTGGCTATAAAACACTTTTTTCCAGCTGCATTAATGTCCAACATCATCATATATGAATTCTTGCAGTACCATTGCTGTGGGATCTTTTCAACAAATTAAACCCTGAACTTGTTGCTTTGAATGCTACATCTGATTTCTAAAGAAACATTGCCCTCCCATGACACAAATCAGTAAGACACGTCCCTAATAAACTAATGAATTAATACATGACTGTTTTCTTTCTGATAATATAATTTAAATGTCAAGGACCCTGGAACTTGCAATTAAAACTTCTTATCTTAAAGATTTCTAAAGTAGTTTTTGTCATTATTTAATTTAAGCAGATTGTGCCACAACTATTTTAGAGTCAGGAAAGGAAGAGGTTATTATTATTAAGTCAGTGTTATTAATCATCTGATTGACAACAAATTAAGGTGATTAGCCTACTAATGTGCAGATATACTGAATGACTCTTTTCACGTTAATAACACATAAAAATGTCACATTCTGCCTGTCGGCCATGTTTTTAGTTTTGCCCTCTGTGAGTCTTTGTTATATTTGATCAATTCAGTATCTGTTATTTTGTATGTTGTGTTTTAGGGTTCAGTCCAGTCTGTTGTCTTGTGTCCAGTCTGTTAATGTCATTGTGAGCTCTGCCTGATTTGTTATCCGTTTGGTTATTATCTCTCTGTTTTTTTCTGTTCAGTTATCTTAGTCTGTGGTTGAGTGTGTCAGTGTTGTCCTGTTACCTTGTCGTCCTTACCCACTCTGTGTCATTAGTCCGGTCCATGTTTGTGGTGTTGCTAACGCCTTGCGTTTAACTCCCTGTTTCTGTCCTGTTTAGTTTAAACCCTAGCAGTTGGTCCATGTTTTCTGTTGGTGGTTTTGGTTCCTGGTCTTGTGTTCTCTGTTTAGTCTTGTGTATTCCCTTGTTCATCTACTGGTTCTGTTTAGCTCACTTCGTACCTGTCTGTCATGTATTCTGTGTAGCCTTGTTTATTATGCTATTCATCCGCATCTTTAAGTTTACTTAGTATCCGTCTTGACTCTTAGGTTTAGCTCTGCACCTCAGCCCTGTGTCCTAGTTGTGTCTCAGTTCCTGTCTTAGTGTTTACTTTTGGTCTGTGTACTTGTGTGTTCTGGGTTAACTGTCTCTCTGCTGGCCTGCCTCTCTGTTACCCCCTGCTGTGTCTGCCTGCTTCGTTAACCTGATCCCAGTCACCTGTGTTGCTCCCTCCCAGCTCGTTAATCCATGTGTGCTTATATACTTGTTTGTTTCCTCAGTCTGTGTCTGGTCATTGCAGTTTTTACACTCTGTTATGTTGTATGGAGGAGTGTTCTGGCTGTTGCTGTTTCTCCTGCTGTTTTTGGATGCCAATCAACTACCTGTAAGCCTGATATTCTGCTTCTGTTGGATTAAATCCCCTGAACTGTATCTCTGCCTTGGTGTCTTGCGTTTGGGCTCTCACCTCCTCTGCGCTTACCTCCACGAATCCTGACAAATAACCATGTAAACGTAAAGGAAAAATCTCTTCATTACTTGTGCCTCCATGAAGAAAAGACCACCAATTTGTTTGTTGTGTGTCCAGGATTTCTCTCTTCTATTAATTGAATTTCTTTCACTCTCCCCTTCCCTCATATGACCTTTGACCTTCATTGTATGAGATGTTTTCTTCGCAGCCAACCTCTCAGCGTCGGGATTCCTGCCAGAGGAAGGTTGAAACGTGGTAAGCGACCCTCAGTATTTACCCTGAGCAGGCTGCAGTGCCTCTCTGGACAATGGATGCAGATAAAGGTGCCTCAGACTGGAACAACATGATGTTGTTGTTATAATACACACAGCAGCTCAGGAAAAGGTATGGTGGTGTTTGGGAACTGCAGAGCCTGAAAGCATGTTGCTCCACTGGAAAATCAATACTTATATTTGACTTAAAATTCTACAGTTGTTCAAGTTTCCTTTTAACTGAAACATTACTAAATGTTATTGTGTTTTTATATACTGTTATACAGGTGCACTCATTAATTGGTTTTGTTTTAATTAAAGATTGTTTATTTGTTAACCCAGTTTAAATGTCTGTCTCTCTGGTTGTGTCTGTTTACCGCACATTACATCATTTATGCTAGTTATTTTTGTGGAAATTAAGTAAATTTACTTAGTAAGGACTGAATTTAAGTACAATTTTGAGGTACTTTGAGTACTAGTTACTTTGCAGATCAGATTAATAATAGAAAATATAATCAACAAATAAAGTACGATGTAATAGTAAAGATTAAACTTTATTGATCCCTGAGGGGAAATTCACAATCTGCCCAGGAGATAAAGTAGTTGAAATCAGTGTCACCTTTACCTGCTGCAACATTAAAGAGAGGAACATATTAATACATCAATAATTATAATTCAATAAAATGATTTGCACTGTTCTGAAATATCCCATACTGCAAAATGAGCAGGCTACTTTTACATTTAATGTAATTTAGGTATTTTTCTATGCTTTTACTATAGTAAAAATGTGAATGCAGTACTGCTAATTTTACCTAAAATATGAGTACTTCTTCCACCTGAACTGCACTTTAGGTAATGTAGTGTTTCCATCAGCAGATGGCGCCACAGATTTATCTGATGAAACTCAATGGCAGCGACCAGGCAGTGATTGTCTATGAGAAAGATGCATCACTCTGAGGTATAAAAGAGTCAGTAACAAAGAAAAGTTCCCTCAGTACCTCAGAGAGTAATGTCAGCTTGAGTTTGTCTTTGCATGCTCATTAATATATGTTGCACACTGCCTATACTATAGTATGAACATTTCGGCTATTTATTTCCTCCAGCGTTAGCTAGCCAGCTTTAGTTTAGCTTCAGTAAGTGGCTCATGTTCTCAGAGCTGGCATTTGTTTGTCTGTTCAACAGTGTTTAAAGTTATTCAAGAATCCCCAAACATCCGTTCATCCACTGAAATGTAGATGAAGATCAGATGTTTAACCTGTTTGTGTCACTATTTCCTAACATGGTGGCCAGAAATTATGTTCCTCTGTAGAAAGCATGGAGCATTCCTACTTATAGATAGACCTTTTTTTAAAGAGCAATATCCCTTTTGTTTAAATGTATAGCGCATTTCTAGTCTTTGCGACCACTCAAAGCGCTTTTTACACTACATTCATACACTGAGCCTAAGTGCTCAAACAGAAACTAACATTCACACACATTCACACACTTGTGGAACAGCCTCCAGGGGCAGTTAAGGGTTCAGTATCTAGACCAAGGACACTTTGACATGCAGCCTGGACGAGCTGGGGAGCTGAACAGGCAACCCGCTCTACCCCCTGAACCACAGCTGCCCATTTTAATAGGAAAGAAAGCCAGAAACAGTTGCAATATTGATCTTGTCAAAGCCATCAAACTGGTAATTTTAACTTAAACAGGAGTTGCTGGACATGTGAGTCTGGTGGCTGGTGACATAGCGACTGTTTCTATTCAAACAAAAAGGATGTTTGTACCTTTCAAAAAGTTTTTGTTTCTTGTGAAACATTGTGAGATGACCTTTCAGAAAAAGGGATGTAAAGGTACATATACATACACATACTGTATATGTAGCGAAAACTGGAGCACCTGAAGGAAACCCGCACAGACACGAGTAGAACAAACTCACACATTGATAAGAGTCACATTTACAGAACGGTTTATAACAATATTGTTTTTACATGGATTTATTCAAAATATATATGTGTGACTGACCCTTTTCCCCCCACATTTTTAATACCACATAAAATGAGAATGATAAAAGCTATTTTAAAAAAACCTCTGTAAATGTCTTGCTTTAAGACCTAGAAACAGTGTGTAAAATGATGAAGCTCAAATTGCCTTGAAGGGCAACACACTCAGCATAAACACAACTGTTTGTCACAGGAAAACATCTCTTGCAAATGTATGTTTTATGAAATAGCCAATGCTGAAAACAGAAAACAAAGGTTCAAATGATATACAATTCAATATGGACATTTTGAACTTTTACATGGAAAAAGCTAACAAAGATTAAATTTACGTGATCTGCCAGTTAACTGACTTGGTATAAAACAAACAAATAATAATGTTTATTTATATTATTCAAGATTTTTTGTAAATTTTATGAAAGTATGGTAATAATAGTTGCAACTTGAAATGTGAAAATTGAGGAATTGAAGCAAAGTCATCATTTTGGACAGTGGTGCCTCATCTATTGACAACTGAACTGTTGCAATGACAACTGAGCAAATCTAAATATTGTAGGCATAGTACATTTTATTTCCCATTTATTTATTATCTTATACATATTTTGTACCTTTTAATAGGACTTGCCGTTTATTTATTAATTTTTTTCACTTTAGCTCACTTGTTGTGTTTGTTTGCAGAGACACCGGTAGTCCGGTCCCTGGAAATGCCGTCAGAGTGAGGCCTCTTCCCGTCGCTCCTCCCTCCCTCCCCCGGTGCGAGCGGTAGTTTGTTTCTGTGTGTTTGTCGCTGCGATAATCAGATCCGCATGAAGCTGGAGCTGCGTTGATCCGCTGCATGTCCGGGAAGTTTTTGGGGGACAAACGAGACAAGAAGAAGTCTGAACGTTTAAATCTGCCTTCTTTTACTTACCCCATCCCGTCTCTCTGCACAAGGCCCGGGGACCGAGTACAGCGGACGAACCGGGGCGGTGCTCGTTAAATTCAGCCGTGGACCGGTTCGAGCTGCCGCTGGATGGGAGTTTAACACACAGATATTTCATCTCGTCTACTGCGCCGATGGAAGCGGAAAAACCGCCCTGTTCTCAGAGGTAACGGTGGCTTTAACTTCTCTTTTTATCCGTGTGAATCTAGTAAAAACAACCTGCAGGAGCGCAGCCTGTTGCTTTATGTTCAAACTTTATGCAGTTATAGGTAAGTTATTTTAACATCTCTTCCTCAATGAGCGAAAATCCAGATGTTACTAGCAGAGATAAGCTGCACGTGTGAAAATCAACCGTGCAATTATTATTATTATTATTATTATTATTTATTAGGATTTGGTGTTGTGTGCGTTATTGTTGGTCCCCTGGCAAGTACAGGTGAGCAACAGGGAGAAACATGACTAACAATACAGAGAATAAAGTTGCAGGAGTATTAATGGTCACAGGGTAAAAAAAAAAAAGAGTCACATTTATGTTCATCATCATGAGTCACATGGATTTTAATGTGTTTTTTAACTAAAATCCTCAAGTGTCCTTAAAATCTGGAGTATTTGGGATGGGCCATGAGTTTGATATGAGCATTTGTTAGAGTAGGTTCAGGGAAGCTCAGACTTGCTGTATGTAATAATACACATGGCACGTCTTCCTGTCTGTTTTAACTGTAAAGGCTTAAAGGGACCGTTCACCCAAATTAGCCTGAATAATATGAGAAAATGTGTTTATTTGTCTTTTTGATAATGTGGTTGATCCCAGATTTTAATTAATGGTCAGCAGATGTTTAACAAATCAAACGTTAACCATAATGTTCTTGCAGAGTTATAGTTTCTACAGCGGACGCCTAAACTCTGCGTGGTATAGTATAGGATTTGGCACTATTTGAAATGAGACTGTGCTATGATGTGATATAGTTCTCGCAGTAATATAGAAGTGAGCGAAGGAATTTTTTGACTTATGCCATTACTGATTTCTGAGGGTCAATTTCTCTGAACTTTAATTTGAAAGAAGACCGATATGGGACAAGGTTTTCTGTGTTTGACTAATCTAAAGAGAAAGGCCATACAGTTTGTAGTTGGAAGCTCTAAAAATGAGTAAATGCATTTTTATAATACTTTTTAATGACTTTACTGCACTTCACACGTCAATGACCCTTTTGTGTAGTTGAATTTGTGAAGACTTAGTTAATGGATGAGTTTAAAAGTTATTGCAGGGATACCAAACTACTTTTATGGTAAAGGGAGTAACTACAACAGTTCTATTCAAACTGTAAATGTTTTATACATAGGAGAAGATCGACCTTTGTAAATTTATTCATTAATGTGTTGTCTTTGATTCTCAACAGATGCGGCTTGTGGAAACGCTAAAGAGAAACTGCAGCAGGAGGCCTGATGATTTAACTGTGTTATAAAGTTGAACTTCCCAGGATCCTGAGCTCTTTACTCCAGATATTTTCTACATGAGAGATGCCCGGCAGCAAGAGGAAACCTTTCTCGCAGGATTTTAGTGGTGAGAAACGTGAATCGAGCCAAACAAGGGGACAGAAAACGCTCGGCTAACCAACAAACCCGAGCAGTCGGACACTTTCTTTGGATGTCGTTGACCTACGCCGCCTTTCTCCTGCCCGGACGACGTCACAGATAGCAGACAATGTCGGCCGACAACAGCCCGCCGCCACCGCTCGCCTCGCCGCGTTCTTTCCCAGCCCTCCCTCCGCATGCGGCCCCACCCACCCCGTCGCCATCCCCCAGCCCGCCCGCCACCCTCTGCAGCCGGCTGTCCAACGGCAGCCAGACGGCCCCCAGCCCAACAAGCTCACGATGCTCCGTCCATGGAGTCTCGTTCCTGCTTCAGATCGGACTCACCAGAGAGACGGTCACCCTTGACCCCGGAGACCACTCGCTGTCTGCTGTCAGGGAGCTCGTCTGCTCCATCGTGGATCAGAAGGTACATTTTGACTAATTTAATTTGGCTTCTGATCTCTGATTGGAGGTCATGAATGCTTATGTTTGTTACAAACAGAAGTTTTCTAGTAATCTTGAGAAAACATAAAATTACGAGGTCCTTGTCTCATAAGTACAGGACAAAGGTCTTGTTATAATCAGGAGGTCTTGTTATGATGAGACAGTTTTCTAGGAGCTTTAAGATACAGTTCTCTTATTTATCTTAAAGCTGAGGTCAGCAACGTTGGATAACTTGCAAGAGACGGCTAGCTAAAAGTATCAAACCGAAAAACGCCCATTGCCTCCCTTCAAGCCTCCAATCCAAAGCTATTCCACATGTTCATGTAGGGCCAGAGTGCAAATCATAATCCAGCCCGATGATTGGCTGGCGGATTTCTTTTCATTTCTGTGTCAGAGCATTTTATTTATCGATTTCTGTCGGGATGTAAAGAGAATTTAAACAAATATAACAAAGGAAATTCTTCTGAAATAAATTGCTTAACCCATCTTTAAGGCACTGACCAAGTTCATGCCTTATCTTCGCCACATATTTGGCTCTAGAGGCCTGTTGTTGTGCTGACAACTTGCACTGTGTCTTAGTGAACTACTGCCATTGGTGAACTTAGCTGGCGAGCTAACTGCTAACATAAGCCAGCCGGGAAGATGCTGGTGCTTTCTGAGGCTCTTTCTATTTTCTCTGTACTGAGCCGTTGACTTTATCCTTGGCTTTTTGATGTCAGGATTGTACATCATTTAATTTTATTAAGAGTTACCGCAGAGGGAAAAGCAGAATGAGTTGAAAGAGTTTAATAAAAAGATGTATTTGAATAATTGACTCTTTTCCAGTTACTTAACTGGAAAAATGAGCAGCCGAATCCTTAGAGATTCTTTTAGTGCAGTCAAACGCAGAACAAGACCATTTTAGGCGACCACAATGTCATAATTAACTTTCATGAACTGAAAAAACACTGAAAGGGTCAAAGTTCGAAAACCCTGACAGCACCCTAAAACAAGTTCACGGCGAGTCAAATATACACGGTGCAGCTGATATTTGCCTCTATCCTGATTGACAGTTCACCATAGTTGCGACTTGTCAATCACAAGGTAGCCACGCCCTAAAGCATAACCTGCTTTAATGTCTATTTTCTTCTAAATGGGATTATAAATGAACATCATGCTGTGTTGAAGAAGAGAACGATTTTTAGACCTGCAGGTGTCCGCTTGCTCTTTTCTCGGAACTGTCTGCAAACAATTTCTCTTGGTATTGGTGAACTGTGCAGATTTGTGCGTTCACCGAAGTAAAATCCACCAATCGTGGTGAATCCATTGGCATTAATAATGTTTTTCGCTTTAAAAGCTACTCTAACCAGGCCGTAACTACGATAAAACATCCCACATTTTTATTTTATTTTTTAATGTGTTAATAAAACGTGAAAGGTTCCACAGAAAGGTTTTCAGTTTTGTAGTCGTGACCAGTTATTGCAAAGCTAGTATGACTTAGCATCTTGTAATTCTGATGAAAGACTTCAGAATTATGAGATCTCAAAGTCATAATTAGGAGAAAAGGTCTCTGTGTTCCTTTTTAAATCTTCCTAAATCCTTTAAAAAAAACATCACACTGTTTTTTTAATCTGATTGGTTCAGATTCAAACTGACTAATTGTTCTAGTTCAGCTGATTTGGATTTGGACGCAGAGTTTCGTAGTAACCGGCTGATTCTCATGTAGTTCCGGCATCTGCTCTCAGCTCGACTTTTATCTCTCACCATCTACTGGTTTTACCGCTTGCACTTAATGCACCACCTGTTTTTACTGCACTAAATACATTTTCTAGCCCACCGCTGACACACACTCACACTCACACCCACACACACACACACTCACACTCACACTCACACTCACACCCACAACCTCTTTGCAAAACCGATATGTTCACCTGTTTTGCAGTGCATGATGGCGCAGAGAGAAAAACCCAATGATGCTCTCATTTGAACTTCTTCCAGTAACTCTCACTGTATTTTCCTTGATTGACTGATTGGCTGGTTGGTTGTTGGATGAATTTATTGATTGTTTTGACTCGTCATCCAGTCTGTTGAGATATTTTGCTCTGGACCACAGTAGTGGCCAGACTAACCAACATCACCTTTCACATGCAGCCTTGTTGTAATACTTCTCTCTTGTCGCCTCTAGTCATTGACTGAGGAAAAATCTTCTCACAGGGAATGTCACTTCCTGGTCGGTGTTGCAGTGTCAGCGCTCCCCACTTCCTGCTTCACAGCTGTGTGTTTAGGGTTGCAGCGGTCTCACCGTATACCGTGGTATAACAAGTGCAGTTGTTATACCATGTACCATGTGCTTATCAGCGTCATTGAGTTCTATTGTATTTGTATTATTAAAAAAGATATATTTCAAGTTTCATGTCTAGACGAACATAATATTTTGTGTTTGTTCAACCAAAAACCTTTTGATGTCACTTTCTCTGTAATTGATTATTATAATAATTGTGTAATACCGTGAACCGTGAAACTATGATGGTTATCATACCGTGAAAATCTCATGCTGATTCAGCCCTAGTTGTTGTTGGATGAGCAGCAGTTTGTTTCTCACTGTGTAAGATGACTAGGGATGCAGCGATTACCGTATTTCACTATTAACTTTAAAACATCACTTAGCCTAATTAATTGTACAGGCTCCGCTACACCGAGTGTTTCTGCTGCATTTAACAAAAAACACAAAACGGAAGCAAAGTTACACGAGCGGTGCCCCAGTTTAAAGTGCCGTGCTTATCAGAGACATGGAGGCTACTACTGTACACTGGCTAAACTATGGCAGATGGACCAAACTGCGAAGCTTTTATTTGCATCAACGCTGACCAGGGCGTTCAAAAACTTGCCGTTAAAAGGTTGCTTTTTTTGATGCAACACCTGCGGGATGACCACCCATCTTTGCATGCCCAAGTAAAGGTACATAATAACTGAGTTAAATGGCAAGTTGGTAGGGAATTAAATATAAGCATGTCAGTGCCGTAGAGGTGAGATTCGAGCTTTCAGTGCAACGTTAACAATACAAAGCAGATGTAACCTTTCAGACCCACCGCAACGACAGTCCTGCTGCGCTACGACGTTTGTGCCGCGCCATGGGGGTTTGAACTTGCATTTCTGTTATTATTAATAACACTGCATGAGAGATGTTCCTCATTTTCACTAAAACTTATACCAATGGATGAAGAGTTGAAGACATTAACAGTTTATTACCCTCCTCAATAACAATTTCCATGGCGGATAAATAAAGTTAATATTCATCTTATAGTAATAATACTTATATATTATAGAAATATAATTATAATTAAATATTAAAAATCAGTTTATTACTAGTAATTAATGCATAATAATTGTGAAACCTTGATTATCCGTACCAACAAAATCTGTAATCGTTGCATCCCTAGACAGTACACTGTTAATAAACCTGGCGGGTTGAGAGTAGAGCTGCAACGATTAATCAAATAATCAGTTAGTTAACTATTAAATTAAATCAACTATTTTGATAATCGATTAATCAGTTTGAGTAATTTTTTTTTAAAAGAAAGATTTTCTGATTCCTGCTTCTTAAATATGAATATATTTCTGAATATCTTTGGGTTGTCGACAAGACGAGGCCTCTGAGGACGTTTTCTTCGCCTTTGGGAAACACAGATTGAAAGTTTTGACATAATGAACAGATTAATTAATTATTAATAGGTAGTTGTGGCCCTAGTTGAGGGTCAGTCATGGCAAACATGTCTCCAAACTCTGTAAATCTTTTTCATGAACGTATTTTTAAAAATTCAAACAAAGATGCTCTTTAAAAGATTTTCTGAGAGCTGAACTTTATATGGACAAAATGAACTGATTGCTTTTTTTCTGGAGATGAATATGTTCAGTTCATCTGTGTGTTTTGGTCCAGCATCTAGTGGTTCTCAAGATTTTTCACGTCAAGGACCCCTAATCTGATATATTGGACCACAGACCCCCGTTTGATAAGATTTGCTCCCAGGGTCGCCTATCTGATAGCATTTTTGCTTTTAGATGTTTTATTACAGAAAGTGTATGAAACCCATGACCAAAATATTCTTACACTCTGTCTTTGTTACTTTTGGATGGAATTATAGTGAAAATAAATGATTTCCCTTTTTGTTGGACCCTGCCGGTCTCTGGACCCCACTTTAAGAACCACTGATCCAGAGGACCTGCAGCTAAAAGCATTTCAAGGATAAAGTAGCACAAAAAGGAAATCAGAAAGAAAGGACAAGTACTTGAGTACCTAAATGTTACTGGTGCTTTGTGACAGATGGTTGTTTTGGACATGGTGATGTTACATGTGACTGTCACAGCTACTTGTTTTCTTGACGGATCTAAAACCTCAGAGCAGAAATACCCCTGCAGGAACCTTCAGCAGTGGAACTAGATCCCAGTTTGGCCTACAAAAAGGACGTCATCACTGGAATTTTCTTCTTCTTCCTGCGTTTGTGTCCACATCATGGAGCCGTGAGCTCCGTCTGTAGGTGGATGGAAGCTTCGGGTTTGATTTACTGTCGTTACGTCACCTCTCTGCTGCCGTGTGTGTGGTCAGGAGAGCGGATGTTTAGGAAGTAGGGAAGTTCCCCTCCCCTGTAGGTCTTACACGTGAACCACCCCCAATGTAACCACACACAGGTCCTGTCCTGAATTGTGTAATGATCAATGTTTTATATATCAGTAGTGACTCAAATGGCTTTGCCTACAGAGGATTATGTGTTTTACTGTGCAGAGTGAATATTAGACTTCAAGTGTTCATTGGGTGGAAACAAACATGACTTCTGTTTGCTAACACGTTAGCTAGAACAACTTTATAAGGTGACAGCGTATTAGTGGGCGACGTGTCTGACGTAGGAGTGTGCGATATTAACAAAACAAATATCCTGTCAGACAATACCCATCGCCTTCACCTGCAGTTTCAGATCCTACTTTCTGGCTCCGGGTTCAGATTCC